ACTTTTAAACATATAACACTGTCAAAAGTGTTAATTTAACACTCAACAGTGTTGTATTTAACACTCAGAGGTGTGGACCCATATAGACACTCTCTAGTGTTAATTTAACACTGGAGATTTTGCTGTGCATGCTGGTGCTGGGGGAAAGTGTTTCATTATAATTCTTTTGGTTTCACATTCATTCACTTTAAGTTTGGACATCCAGTTCTTGACTTTGGTCAGAGAAAAGCCAATGCTACACCGTAAAAAAAATCCTAAAAAAACAGTAACATTCTGGCAGCTGGGGCGCCAAAATAATACCATAAAATAACTTTCTCATGAAAATACAGTTATTTTCAGTAATGACAATACAGTTTGTGGCCCTGATTTTACATGGGATTTTGCCTTTTTCAAGTGCTTTTAAACATTAAATTAGGTACATTTTAATGTGATCAAACAATGAAATTACCTATAAACAAGGTCAGTGAATGCGGCAATATGAATAATAATACTTAAATGTACAGAAATATACAGTTAACAGTTGGTTTAAATAATAATGGATTGCATTCATATAGCACTTTTTGAGACCCTCAAAGCGCTTTACAATTCCACTTTATATTGGAATTACAACCAATAGCAGCACATTGTATATTTGTTTCCTACTTTGTGAATTGCTGCTTTGCACAGGAAAGAAATCAGTTTCTTTGTAGGTCAAAATATATTTAGTATTTTTAAAATAATAAACATATTTGTTTTTAACAGGTGCTTCAGCAGGAGAGAGCATTTATATTATATTGACTCCAACAGGTTGAAATATTTTGAGATTAATAGCATAAGACAAAACACGTGAATACTTCTCGTCACCTGTTACCTGCGCTGTCACCTGTATGCCTTCATCTAACCTGCTCTGTCTTCTTTTCTTTCTTTTGTTCTTTCTTTCTTTGTCTTGACTTTAATCACTGTTCGGTGCGTTGATTCTCCCCTAAGCCAGCAGCACAGATGGCGACACACACTCAGACATTAACAGGGTCAGATGGTTGGTGTTATCACTTGGTTGCTATCGCCACGGGAACCAAGCTTCCCAGCAGGCTCACAGCGGCCAATCAGACATTCCCAAGAGAACTCACAGCGGGTGTGTGTGTATGTGTGTGTATGGGGCCGGGTGTGATTGTCAGCATACCACCTTGTTACCCTTGACGATGCCAGGCCTCTTGATACTTGGAGTGACTCTTCTCTGACACACACACACACACTAATGGTTTTGTTCTCTTACACACTCAAAATTGCTCTCAGCGTGCATTTACGCAAATATGTTGTTCACTCAAGGAAAATTCCAGAACACACACTCACATGTAGTGCAGCTAAGTGGTTTCATTAATGCAGAATAAATGCAGGTGGTGATGCTCTCTGAATAAAGACACAATTTGAACCTCTCATTTTTTCTCTTTCACAGCATTAATATAAAGAGCCAGCTTTCCATACTCTTAGTATAACTAAGTAAAAGATATTTTACCCTTTCATTAGCACATTTGTTACTACCTAATATGGAAACTTAACTAGCTGTTGTTTAGAAATTTCATCAAACTGGAATGTGACCAGCAACTTTATAAGTCAATTCATGGAAGGAATTTTGTTTTGTTTGAGCATCAAAAACAACCTTAAGATATCCGTCTTTTTGCTAATCTTAGCTAGTGCTAGCCAGGATGGTGCTCTAACTGCAACACGATATAGGCCCTTGCCTAGCTTGCTTTAATATAGGAATATAACTGTAATATGAGCAGGTGGCAAA